TTTTTTTTTTTTTTTTAATTCTTTAGCTTCAGTTATTTGGTGCCTGTAGTCCCAAGTGTATAGGGGCAAAGGTAACTGCTATGTATACTAATATTTAATTAAAGGAAATCAGAATTATTATTTTGGGACCTTTTGAGTATGAAAATAAATTGTCAGGTGCCATACTCTTTTACTAAAGTTGGTATTTAGGTAAGAAAACTGATGAATTCTTGCCAGCTTCAAAAACAGGAAAACTAGAAGCTAGGCCATAAGTGAGTACTCTGAAGCCATAGCAAATAGCACAAAATTACTTATTTGCTATGCTATTTGTATATTTGTCATGTTTACTTAGGTAATACTTTGAAATTTGACTCTTGAGATTTGTCAAGCAAATTCATTTAATGAAAATGATTTTTTTATACATCATGTCAACTCTAAGGTGTTACCGGGCCAAAGCATAGAAAACTAAAGTCCACTTTGAAAGCAACTTTAGTCTGCTCAGTAGAAATTTAAAAAAAAAGTCTTCTCTTGCTGTAGTACAGACCTGAATTGAGAAGTGGCAACCAAGGGAAATATGGACCAAACATAGCATTGTTTCATGCAAGTCAAATCAGACCTGTGAATTAACTGTGGTCTTTTCTCCTTTTGTTGTAATTTATTGACTTTCTACCTGTGGCATTTTGACTTCAATTGGAATGCTTTAATTCAGGAAAACACTGGACCCTGCTCTTTCACTTTGGGAATGGGTGGTTGTGCAGGAACTCCACCTCTGCTTATCTTCTGTGAATTTCTGAGTATAGTAGGAAAACAAAATACCAAATTTTATAAAGGGATACTCTTTTTTGGAATTGTCCTTATATGAGCACAAGTAGTGACAATATCTGTAATAATTACATTGTTTTTTTTCCTTCAAATGTAGACAGCAGCCCTGAGAGCAGTAGGCAACATAGTAACTGGTACGGATGAACAGACACAAGTTGTTCTCAACTGTGATGTTCTGTCTCACTTCCCAAATCTCCTGACGCATCCAAAAGAGAAGATAAACAAGGTATATTCTGTCTTTTAGTTTCTTTTCTGTCTTTCCATCTTCGCCTTTTAGATTAATGAAGCAAGATTCTTTTGTAGTATGTGGCAGGCAGAACCTCCAACTACTGGAGAGCAGGATTAGCTTGATTCAAATTAATTTTAAGGGTAAAATTTGAAGCTGCTCAGCCTTCCATTAATAATCCTGCCTTCAGGATGGTCACGCACTATTCTGAGACGAGAACAGGGGTGCTCGTATGTCCAGTGGCCAAAATAACATAGAGGAAGGTGGATTCCTGTGCTTGGAAAGGAGCTGGGATTGACACAGCCTGCACTACTACTTCCATCTTCTCCCAGTTGTGTGTTAGTAGGGGGGCTCCCTGCTCCAGGAGAGGTTTGAGTGCTAGAGGGAGGAAGTGGTCAGAGCCTTTTCCCTGTCATGGAGCTATATTGGGATTCTTTGTGCTCACTGAGATTCCTCCCACTCCGAAGTGGGGGATGGAGAAGCAGCTTCTGGTCTCCCTTGCCTACATATCTTTAGGACACATGCTTCGTCTCCTGTTCAGTTCATCTGCATTGTGACTGCCCTGGACTTCCAATAGCCTTTTCCAGTTGCAGGGAGCTGTGGACCTCCTTTTGACCTTTTGCTGCAGTTGTTTGGCCACTTCTTCCTGTCTACCCTTTCTGAACCTGGAAAGGAGCTGTCATGCTTTTTTTTTTTTTTAAATGCCGTAACAGTTTGTTTGTTTTTACTTAAGTGAGTGCCTAGCTTCCATTTTTAATTACTGTGATTACCCTGAGCAGTTGATAATTCTGAAGAGGTGAAACCTAGAATATACTGTCCCTTTTAAAATGAAGACCATTACATTTTTACAATTCATTATTTGACTGACTTGACTGACTCTTTGAATTTTTGCCATTTATAGAAGACCAGAGAAGTTTTCTGAATCCCATCTTGGGAGTTTCTTCCCACATATCCCCTTTTTTCTAACCAAGAACTATATAAATTCCTTCAGGTGATGAAAGTTATACTGCTGATTCACCTAAAAAAGACTGCTATAAAGGAACACCAAGTCATGCCTATCTTCTAAGTGAAGGGTCTTAAATGAACCGCATCAGCAGTTCTCCTTGGGGTAGGATGAGAATGGAAACTAAACCCAGATTTTCTTTGCACGAGTGCAGAAGACTACCACGAAGCTTTTAATCTCAAGTTGATCTCTTACAGTGTACAAAATCAGTTTAAAATCTCACTTGAACCTCAGTGAAAAATATGTATGACGATGTAGCTCCTGACAGCTTTGATATGAATGCTGTACCAAGGTATTTAGATTCCAGAATTCTAGTACTCCTGTCATTAATTACAAAAATAGCCGTAGCCATAGTCTCATTTACGCTAATTGGTAGTAGGCAGGGGGCATAAAGCAAGTGAACATAAGAACTGCCATTTATTGGGTCAGATCATAGGTCCATCTTGCCCACTATCCTGTGTTACACAGTGGCAGAGAGTGGATGCTGAAAAGGAGAGTGAACTTGGTATGACCAGGGTTTTTTCCACCATTCCTTTTCCACTTGCAGCCTCCAGCATTGAAGGTCTAGGAAGTTCTGATTCAGGGGCTGTACCCCTAACTCCCATGCTCATTAGTTACTGATGGACCTTGCCTCCAAGAACTTGTTCAGTCCCCTTTGAATCTGGCTAAACTGTCAGCTTCTGCAGCATCTGGTGGCAGTGAGTTCCACACTTCAATTACATGCTACGTGAAAAAGAACTTCCTTTTTGTTAGTTTAAAACTAAGTACCTTGCAATTCTTTTGATGTGAGAGATGGTAAATAATAAATTCTTTTTTACTTTCTCTTTACTATTTAATATTTTGTAAACTCCTATCATGTCCCTGCCCATGGGCAACTGGTGTCCCCTGAGCCTGCACTCCAGTTTCGTGGCTGGCACTTCCAGGGGGTGCACATATACCCCCTACGTGTTGCCTATGTCCCTGCCTCAAGCATTTCTTTTCTAAACTGAATTGGCCCAGCCTTTTTAGTCTCTTCTCATGTGGAAGTCCCTTCATACCACTAATCAAATGTAATCTCAGATATGTAGCAAATCTTAATGTAAATGAGCATTTGGGCCAATGAATATTTCCCTAATTAATTGTTTAAAATGAATCTAATTTTACATTGATCCTTATATCTGGCTTTTACTGTGCTGCAGAATTTTGTTGAAAGTACTTAACTGCATCATAGAAAGCTGACTAGGGAGAAGCTGGAGGCTTTAACACATGGGGTAAGACAAGCAGATAGCCCTGATTAGTAAGGCTTTTTTGGTACTTGAGGTATTATTTGAAGGCTTCTCTCTTCCCCTCCCCCTGTCTTTTCCCCAGAGTTGTAATTACGATCACAGGAGCCTTTTTTTCCCCAAACTTCACTGAGGAATGCTTCTCCCCTCCAGGGAATACATTTTTCTAAAGCAAGGAATATTTGATAGAATTAGACTCGTGAAGAATTGCAGGACTTATTTTAAAGGCTTTATTTTGTGTTATAGCAGCTTCTATGTAGTGCTTTTCAGATATCTGTAAAGAATTAGGTTATTTTAAAGGAAGGTGGTTTCTCTGTCATGTGATTGCAGGAAGCAGTTTGGTTCCTTTCCAATATCACAGCAGGAAACCAGCAACAAGTGCAAGCTGTAATAGATGCTGGACTAATCCCTATGATCATACACCAGTTGGCTAAGGTCAGTCAAACTTATGCAAGCTCGTCATCATCCTTTTATAAATCTGAGATGGGACTCTATAGGTTTAATCAGCTTTACAGCTGTTTTCTTGCTAATTTTAATGAGCTATCAATTTTACCTGTCAGGGGGACTTTGGAACGCAAAAAGAAGCTGCTTGGGCAATTAGCAATTTGACAATAAGTGGAAGAAAAGATCAGGTACGTATGGCTGGATTTCAGGTTGTCATTGAAGTATCGTATGTATAGCCATTTGTAAAGATGAAGCGTGTATAATTCTGAAGGCATTTTCTCACTGTTTAGGTTGAATACCTTGTGCAGCAGAACGTAATCCCACCATTCTGTAACTTACTGTCAGTAAAAGATTCCCAAGTGGTACAGGTGGTCCTAGATGGTCTGAAAAACATACTCATAATGGCTGGCGATGAAGCTAGCACAATAGCTGAAATAATAGAAGAATGTGGAGGTAAGGTTTCCTGCGTCTTCCTGTTTAAGAACCAATATAATACTCAAGGTCATTAAAATATACAGCATAACACCAGCAGTTGGTAGTTGCACAGTATTTCAATGAGACTTTCAGAAGGAGAGACCATAAATAAAGTACTTTAGTTATTGTGGCTTTTATCTGTTTATCATAATAACTTCTTTAGTGAACTTTCACTGTGGAGGATGTTTTACAGGACAATGCTTTTCAGTAGTAGCTTTTTGTATTGGTTTGTATCTTTCAGATTCTTAGTTTTAATAAGGGTTTTCTCTTATCCAACTACTACATGCAGTTCCTGCAGTAAACTCCTGGTTTCAGCATGTCATTTGCAGTGAAATAAGTGTCAGTGTTATGGTTTCCTACAGTACAAAATAGGATGGGAAGCTGGGCTTAGATCTAGCAAGACCCAGTTCAAAGGCATACCCACAATTTGGATAATATGGCAAGTCATGTTGCTAGAAGTTAAAGGACATATCTTTCCAAATATACACATATATTGCTTTAAATAGGAGCCAGCGTATTAAACATCTATAGGTATTTACATTTGCCATCTTGTTTGCTATCTTACTCTGCTCTACTCATAAATGAAACTGCTTTTTTTAGTATGTCTACATATGTACAAAGCCTGTTTGAGACAGAGGGTACATAGTGCACAGCTTTTGCTTCACTGGGCTTTAACTAACTTACATATAGAGTGGAGCACAATAGCCCTTACTTTTCATAAGAGACTTTTATGTGAAAACCCTGGGCATGGTGAGACCTGTAAATTCCACCAGTCCTAGCTTTGTTCTCAAGGTGAAGATGGGTACTTTATAGAACAGTCTGGTTCATATTTATAAACAAGGCTGCATCTTGGCCTGTTCTGGTTTCCAATGCACTGCAAAATAATTAGGCATTAAGAAACTATTGCCTTCATATATATATAAGCGGCTAACTTAATGTAGGTAATAAATAACTAACTTCAGTTAAACACAATTTAACCTCTTTTTTTCTATTTTCATGCGGCCAGGATTAGAGAAAATTGAAGCCTTGCAACAACATGAGAATGAGGACATTTACAAACTAGCGTTTGAAATCATAGATCAGTATTTCTCTGGTGATGATGTAAGTACCCTAAAGAATGGTTGGTATGGGATTATAGATGTATAAATAGTTTCATGTGAATGGTTTTATATTCTTTGTATTACTTTTAATAACTGCCATGTAAATGTTATTTCAGTCAGCCTCACTTAAAACAGTCATAGGTTGTCCAAATAATATGTTCTCAAGTATTTTCTACATAGCTTTTCTTAATTATTTTTTGTGAAGTCTCTTAATTTTCTACTGCTATGTGTTCTGGGATTTTTTTTCTTTGACCTGTCCGTGCCCCACTTTTTTGTCCTTTCCATCTACCAGATATTGAGCAAGAGAAGTAGGCCTTCTTTGCCTAATGGATCTTTCAGTCCTAGCCCATGGTGTCTCACTTCCACTTTAAATAGTTTGGGTACAAGCAGTTTTACCAACTGCAGTGCAATACAGTTAATGGAAAATAGATTTACAGGCAGCCCCTGCTTAGCACTCTTAATTGGCTCCTTAAAAACTGAGTGTTAAGTGAAATGAGCATTACCCGAAACCAAAAGTATTTGATGACCCAAGATTGTGACTGCACTTGTTTTTAATGACCCAAGATGGTGGCTGTGAGCATTATAACGAAACTCGCCAAGTGAAATCAGGTGTCAATGTCAAATGAGTTTTATAGCAAAATAGCACTAAGTGAAACAGCATTAAGCAGGGGTTGCCTGTATTTTAACATGATCATTTCAGTGCAGTAGAAATTTTTAATTTAGTTTTAGATCACTGTTGTGGGAATCTCATGTCCTGTTTGGCTATTTGTGGAAGCATTCAGAAGAGTAAAATTGTGTAAAATATCTATATATTTAAATGCCATGGTCTGTACTGGGGTGGACAATTATTTTGGGGCCACAAGCCCCGTAGGCAGTTCTGGGGAGTTCAACACACCTCTCCCCACCCCCACCACCAACCCCACAACAGTCTGGAGCCCATGCACCACTGCCAACAGTGCCCGACCCTGGCCCACCCTGTGTTTCTAAGCAGCCTAGGTGGCGGCAGCTCCTTCTGGCTGCTGCTGCCTCTGGCCCCAGCCTCGTGGTACTGGTGGGGACACACTGACCATGACCTGCCCTGTGCCCACCCCAGATTCAGCTCAGCAGAGTGGATCAGCTCCAGACTAGCCAGAACCTGCATGCAGAGCCCCAACTTGGCCTGCCCTGTGCCTGCTCTGGACTCTCCTGGACTCATCTGAGCAGAAGCTGCTGATAGACCTGGGGGAAAAGCCCCACCCCTCCCCTGCTGGGTCCTCCTTGCCCAGGCTGCCCTGCCACTTCTGTCCCACCCAGTGGTGGCAGTGCAGAAGAGCTGCAGGGCATCCTGGGCACAGGCTCTGGGCGGCTGCAGCAAAAAGGGCTCAGCAGTGGTGAGGGGGTGGGGTTGATTTTTCCGTGCCTGGCTGCTGCTGCTCAGTGTGAGCAGGTGAGTCCAGAGCTGGTCTGGCACATGGGTTCTGGCTGGTCCAGAGCTGGTCTATTCTACCAGGCCAAGTCCAGAGCAGGTGTGGGGCAGGCCGAGGTTGCGCCAGTGGTGGCAGCAACTGGAAGGAGCTGCTGCCACCTATGCTGCCTGGAAAGGCAATGCAGCTTGAAGAGCCACCCCAACCCTGCTGCGCCCAGCGGGTGGCAGGATGTGCCATGGGCTGGATGACGCATGCGCCGTATTTTGCCTACCCCTGGTCTATGCCATTAGTCCCTCAGTTCCAATCTTTCTGTTGATGATTTTAGTTACTGAACCAATCTACCTCATTATATAGTTTAATTTAACACGTCTTAGTTTTTAGTAATGTTTATGGTATTTTAACACTTTTCTGAACACGTGTCCTATAATGGGATTTTGATATTATAAGGGCAGTTGTTGCAAAATCTGGCTGCTTGTCTTATCTTGTTTTATGGAAATGTCAGTCTTCAGCGATCCTGTTCACTTGGAGTGTTTGCTCAGAATGTTTGCTTGTTCTGTTGATCTACTCTAGGCTACTTCAGAAAAGAGGAGCAGGTTCAAGCATTGGGTTTTGATTGCCTTGCTTGTAAAGCTTGCAAGCTCCAAGTTGAAGATGCCAGGAACTTGTCTGATTCTATACCTCCAGCTCAGGGTCCTCTGATGTAAAGTAGTTGAGCAGTCTTGCATCTCAGATTATAGGAAGTCCTTGGGGTCACATTTCAGACTGCTTAATGTGTAAGAACTGAGAAAAATCATTGGGAAATAAACCAGTGAAATGCAAAACATTGTTCTGGTCTAGCCTCAGTTCTTGCCATCTCATCGCATCCTACGATGTCACAGGAGACTAGGACTTTCTCTTAGTGGATACATATGCTGGGACTTTCTGAGGTCTGTGCTGGGATTGATTAGTCAAGGTAGGCTGATCCTCTGGATCGTCCCTGTTATGTTCTTGTAAGATCAGTCTCTTTTATGGTGGCAGCCTGGCAATCTGTTCTTGCCTGAGAGTGTCACTTATTTCAGAGCAAGATACTTATCCACATTTCATTGTGGGTGCACCAAAAAAGATTTTTTTGGCTGATACTGATGGCCAATTATTAAACAGCCATGTTGGCCTATACCAGTCCAATAGCCAGTATGCAGCTTGACAGTGTGGAGAGCAGCATCCAGCCAGTAAGTCTGTGATGGGGAAGGGCTGTGGGGGAGGGAAGGGGTATGCGGGGGGACAGATCAAGGCCCCCACAATGAGGGAGGAAGTGGGTCAGGGGCAGGTGCTGCCCAGCTGGGGCAGGAGCAGCTCAGGATGGAGCCACAGGGAGCTCCCATCACTGCATGCATCCCTGGGGGAGACATGGGGGGCATATGCCCCCCAGACTTGTGTGCAGGGTGAGGATAGGCTGCCCACTGTGGGCTTGGGGCCAGGGGCTGCGCCCTCCTCTTTCTGGTGGGGGGGCTGGGGCTGTACACAGGGTGGATGGGTAGGGCAGGCAGCAGTGGCACTGGGAGGGGG